CCACAGTGTCACACCTGGGTTTCCCCATCCGGACCTAAAGGCTGTTCATGCCCATAGACAGGCTTCTTTCAACTACATTTGAGTTTAGATCAAGAATTTAACCCAGGTTTCATGGAGTTAAGATGCAGTTTAAAGTGAATTAAAGGGCAAATTAATTTATACACTGTTGGGAGGTGAGGGAGAGTGGGAGGAGTTATGCTGTCTCTAACAGGAAAAGTTGAAATGGAAAAAACCCAAGGGGAAATTAGAATTAAATCACTATCCATTTCTGAAAAGTGACATTGTGCATGTTGGAATTTCCCAGGCACGCAAGCCTCTTGTGCTGTGATGTGCCAGCCCATGTTGATTGCCAGTACACCGACCCAAGCTGAGAAATATTTTGATTTTTTTGAAATGTCCAAACAAGGCTTAAGTTGATGAAGTAATTTACCTGTACTGTGAGTGATTGGGTAGTACTTGTTGATGGAGGAGAATGCAGAGGTAGATTTCCTGTAGAGCTATCAATTTCTTTAGAGTTAATGGCAAGGAGTTTTCCAGATGTGCCCCAGAATAATGTAAGTTTTCGCTTGTATTGAGGTTCTGTGCTACTTAATACAATAATTCTCCATCTATAAAAGTAAACATAGTGCAGATACCTTCTGTTAATATTTACTCTTGTCTGAAGAAATATAATTTACCTGTTATAAATATATTGGAGACACCTTATCTTTTCAAAGGCATTCAGAAAATTTAAAAGGCTGGGCTGTACTCCATTTACTAACAAAAGAGAAACCGCCCACTTAATATTTGCAGAGGATGTTATATTTTTATGTAGTAGTTCAGGCATGAGATTACTTAAAACATCTAAACTAAAGCCTTCCTTTCAATAAAGCATTGCATACACCTGAATTTGTACCAGCGCAAGTTTTGACAGCAAAGTAATATCCTTTTTGGAGTGGCCTGCTATATATCTGCTTATTAATGTTTGTACTGATAGCTTGTAAACAGTCTAGGAATTAAATGCTTTAATCCAGGATTACTGCAGTTAAATGTATAATCATCCTAGTTTTTTCCCCTCCAGGGCTGAGTGCAAGTGAGAGATGGTACAGAGCTACTTGCTTTCTGGTTTTCAGTTATTCATACATGGGTCACCTTCCTTTTTTATTCATTAGTTTCGCTTGCCACTGCACAGCAAAATTCTGTGTAAAATGTTTTGACAGATGTGTTTTGTGCCACAAACATGTGGCAAACATGCTCCAGATTCAAGGCAGAACCATTACTTTTTCTTTATTCTTCCCTACTCAAATCTTGTTTAGTACAGTGAGTGATTAGGAAAAGCATTTCTTTTTAATTTTGCTACCTTTTCTGACTGGCCAGTATAGGCATGTTTAGGGGGAACACTTTCCATCAAAGTAGTATTCTCCAAAGATATACAATTTTAAATTATATTTCTCCTGTTTGCTTTTAGCCAAAAGTTATTTCTCTCTCCTGTTTCTTAACCTACTCCATTACATAAAAAGGAAAGAAGATTTATTGTTCCAGCCATGATTTTCCTGTATGAGGAATAGTTCAAATTGTTTTAACTCTGTCACCAGAAACATATAGGAATTTACTTCTTCCTGAAACGCTAATAGGTGTGTGGGATAAATAGGAAGGTAGCAGTGCAGATCTACCTATGTCCGGACGATCTTCTGCAGAAGAGTGCTTCTTTGCACAAAAGAGCTTTTCTGTGCTGCAGCCGAGCTTCCATGGCTTACACAAATGAAAATCTAGCTCCCCACAATAGGCAGAGAGGACCAAATCAACCCATTTGGACTGGGTTGATTTGTTTTGGGGTTTTTTTAGGGGGGAAGGGGTTTAGTTTTTGGAATGAGAGGGATTGGTTGTCTGTTGTTTTCTGGGAAACAGTTTGATCCTTTGAACCTCTTCTGTTTTTCTACTAGCATGTTTATTTGTGATCACTGCTACTGAAATCCTGATGGGAATAGCTTCTATTCAAGGGTTTATGCTGTGAAAGAAAGGAAAAAATAAAATAAAATATACTCAAGTTTTTGTATGTGAAGTAGTCAGGAAGTTCAAAGCAGTAGCTTGGGTGGGCTGCACTGTTTCTCATTTGCATTGAATACACTACATCTTTGTGGCACCAAATTAACACTGAATACAGCAATGCAAAAAATGCTTCAGAACATCAAGTATGGCTACTGAGGAAAATGTCACTTTGGATTTTTCAGAGTAAATGCACTCTGAGGAGCTCATCCAAAAAGCTGCTCTTATGTGGAATATGTGGGAGGGCAGTTTCATTCCATACTGGAGAGCTTTTCTGATACTAGCATTTTGCAGTGTCCGCAGAGGTATTGAAGAGGGTTGGGCAGTTTGGGCTTGATGTGCATTCAGCTAGTTCTGCTGTATATTTGCATGAGAATCCCTTCCCAGACATAGCAGGAGATGAATTCTGGAGTAGTGTGCTGTGGAAGATCATCTCTGACAAGTTCTTAAATAATGCACCTGCTACGTCTGCTTTTGAACCAAGAGTTACTGAACATAGCCCTTGAGATTTCACGTTTCTTCCAGTATTTGGACTACAGCGTTTCCACCTCACAGCAAGAAATTTTTATGTCAAAACCAATAAATGTTCTTACTGTTACCAAATGATTTTCTGTCCCAGTTACAAAGAAACAGTATTCTAGTGTCTTTTTTATTATTAAAAATGGTGTAGTCTGGCATTTACAACATGTCCATAAACCTGCCGTTGAGTGCAAAAATGCACTTCTGTGGGGTCGCTTTGACTCACGTGGTTATGTTCTAAAATGTGGTTGCAGAAATACATTTTTCCTTGTTTTGGGAGAGATTAACTTGTGATACTGTATGCACAGTGTACAAATTAAGGGAGGGACTGTCTAACTACTTCTCCATCTGTGGTTTGGACTTAGCCAATTACGCCAGAATGCTAAAATGCGTATGAAAGATAAAATCAGTTAGTACAAATATTTAAGGATTTTTTTAAAAAAATCTGCTTTTCTACAGTAATTATATTGACCTAAACTGTCTTTTAATGTCGTATCAAGATAAGCATCTGTATTACACCTTCTTTTCTTGTTCAAATAAAAGAAGGGGTGGAGGAATTTAAAGCTAATCTTTACCTTTCAATCAAATCTGTTCTTTAAAAGATACCCCAATGCTAGTACTTGGAGGAGTAATTTTCTTAGGTTTATTGTCATTCTTGAAGAATTTTATAAAAATTGTGCTGTAGCACAATCCACAGTAATGCCATAAATGGGGATAGGTGATATGGCAGGATTTAGACAATGCTATTGACACTTGAAAAAAAGTCAGCATGACTTGGTGGTCAAAGGTGATACCCCATTTCCTGAGCAAAAGCAGTATGGCGTTTTGAGTTTATATTTGAAAGCAATTGGATGTCTGTCCAGTATGGATTAGGGAGACTTTGGGAGGGTGTCAAAAGTTCGGTCTTGTTTTTTCTTAACTGAAATTTAGAATGCATTTAGTGCAAGAAATTGTACTTAGGGACAACTTTGCTCCCAGACCACTGGCAGGAGGTGCTATGTGGAATGGGTTGCTCTGGTTTTAATTCCAGCCTGCACTCTGTGCTCTGTGCTGCCTGGCATCTAGCAAACTGATTTACATGAGCCCTATGTAAAGCATTTTTATGTTCTTTTGCATACAAGGCATTATCTAAAGGCTAGCTATCCATTATTTTGAAAAATTTGTCACATCTGTATTGAAATATAGGGAGACATTTTCTGTTGGGAAAAGAAGGGGGACCTCTGAGGGAATCAAGCATTTCAACCCCTTATCAAGCAGTGTAAATGTGAAAATGAGGCAGTTGCACTGCTGTTTAATAAACTGTCAGTTTTTGGCTGGATTGGGGATGGTATAAAGATCATAGATTTCCTTGTGTCTCAGCATGATATTAGGTATGGAGTCCAATTTGCATTCATTTTAGGATAAATAAACATGATCCCTCTTGTGATATTAGTGATGGCATGGCTGGCCACTGTACGTAAAATAGCAGTTGAAAGAATTGGAATAGTTGCTGAGCTTTCTTCTCTCCAACACATGAAGCAATATTATAAAAAAGCCCTTGCAGTATAAGCTTCTAAATATGAACAGCTAATGTTAATGTTTCAATGAAAATATTTTTCCAAACTAATGTTAATGTCATCCACCCATTTACCTATGCACACGTCTTTGCCTGATTAAAATAATTCCCACCTCCATTGCAAATTAGCTTATTTCATCCAGGCTTTTAAGAAATAATCAGAATAGCTTCTCTACGTCACATCAATTTTAGGGTTTTTGTGGGTTGTGTGTGACTCTGCTGCTATTTTCTCACTCCTTCCTCCCCCACTGAGAACCTTCCTGAAGCTAGTGTTCAGTGCTCAAGAGATGCTCTTGCTTGTGGCTTGGTCTTGATCTCGGAGGTTGCTCAGTGAATGGGAATGGAAAGTGTTCATAGGATTTGCTGGCTGCAACAACTGCTGTGACAGCTGTTACAGACTCACTTATGCCTCCTCCTTTCACTGAACAGTCTTAAATAAAGAGATGCAGTATGGGCAGTCCTCTGTGTAGCTGACCCTTCTGC